TGTAAATTACCAAGCACACTCTCATCCTCGTCTTACTGTTAAACTCACACACTCTTTTAAAGTGAAGGAAGAATTTATAAATTGGAATTATTTGATAAATCATCCTTTCAGATTAACAAATAAACAGACATATTTAAGTTTCATTAAATGTAACAAAACAATACATTAATGCCATTGGCCATTTCTGTATGAATTTGTATGGATAAAGAAAAACGATTTGTAAATGCAAAATAAATATGCATTGTGAAAAATATAAAAATGCCATTTAAATTATATATATATATATATATATATATATATATATATATATATACAGTATATAATATATTTATAGTTCCAAAATTTCCAAAAAGCTTTGGAAATCAATACAATAAAACAAGCATTCTTTAAATTGAACTTTAATTCTTTCAGGAATGCCAGAGACTAAAAAAACCAAAACAACTTGAAATGCCACGGTGTGAATAGTCAGCACATGTAGAAAGAAGGAATTTACCCAATATATCCAATGATCCGAGCCCTTCTAGCTCAGCTAAAGCGCCGTCTTTGTTCGACCCGATGGCTTTATAGTCCTGTGGCATTTTTGTGTGTGTGTGACCAGGTGTGTAAACATCCTACACTCTCAGCTGTGACATCACCAAGCTGGGAGAGGGATGTTTACTCTCTTTGTCACAAATAAATCTTCAGGAATGGATGGAGATCAAATATAAAGATACACTTCTGGGTACAAACGTTTGTGTGTCAGAATAGCACAGCTGATTGCCTGCCATTACGCTGCGGTTGAGTGTGGGTGTTCAGGCCACAGACTGCAGCTAAAGGTCTCGTTTCTGTCCAGCTAGAAGATTGCATTACTCGCTCTTGTTTTGCCTAGAAGTAATTTATCCTCATCCTGCCTCTAGTGTTACAGAGCGAAAATAATTTATGGAGATGTAACCAGTAGATAGGCCTTATGAACTCTTGATTTCATCTGTGTGTTTATGGGATTGTTGGATGCTCTCTTGCATTTATGAAGATCCTGTTGAAGTGTGCTGCAATATAAGGTATATCTTTCTCTATAATTGTGCCTGTCTGTGTAGGAGGAAGTGCGTCAGTCCGTCGCCCCGACTGAGCCGGTCCAGTATTACTTCACTCTGGCGCAGCAGCCCAGTGCGTTGCAGGTCCAAGGTCAACAGCAAGGCCAGCAGGTGGCTGCTCCCACTGCCACCACACTACAGCCCGGACAGATTATCATCGCTCAGCCCCAACACGGCCAGGTAATCATCACACACTCAACACAAACCCAAGAACGCATATATGGAGTCTAGCTTTTTAACTATCAATTTTGAGACTCGAAATCGCATAATTCGCTTCCATATAGTAGGTGGAAAACAGTATGTGAGCAGAGTAGTGTGTCCGATTTCACTGTATTCATAAAACATTAGGCGAAATGTTGACCGAAGTACACATCTGATGGATACTGATAGGTCACATGACAATGACATCATGCTGAATATAGCATGTCGAGTGGATTCATACAACACACATTCATAATATATATTTTTTAGCAGTTGCAAAGTACCTGCCTATTCAGAGAGCATGTGATTTTGGACCCAGCTATCATTAACATTTAGTAAGCATACACGTTTAACACAGAAAAAACAGCACATATATGATATCATGCAAAGCATGATATAATGGCTATGATGTAGCTAAAGCCTACTTTTTTGATTGTCCTGCCCAAACTTCCTGTTTTAATAGGAAATATGTCAATACAGGAAAGAAAACTGGCATCTGGAGGACACTGTTTGCCCTTGTAATTACCCTAGTGTATATTATACTACAGTCTGGTGGACAAAAGGCTGAAACTTTATCGTACCTACTCTCTCACACAACACTTGAGCCCTGATTACTTTGATCAGCCCATTACAGGATCATTTGAAACATGATTGGTGAAGGTTGAAAGCCCAGAGGTGTCATTCACACGTTGCTATCAGGTGAACGGTAAAGAGTCCAGTCACTCTCTCGTGTGATATCTGTCCAGCGTCTTAGCATTAACACAGCAGTCCTTTCCACGCCTCTCCTTTTTTGTTTTTGTATAATTAACTTTTGATTTTGTTAGGTTATACTGGTTTAATTCCACCAGTGTGAGGATATTTTTCACTTTCTCACTCTTCTTCTCTGTGGTGAACCTCATTCTCTCTCTAAAGATCAGTGCTGCTTCAGCAAGCTGCAGTTTGCTGACCTGTCAGACTTGGGCAAAGTTGTGCTGCAGTCACCTTAGAGAGCACTTGGGACAAATATATACTGTTGGGTTTAAAAATGTCAGGCCAAAATGAAAGGAGATTCCAAATCTAATTTCAACCTGAAAATAAAGTTTTAAAATGTTGAAAAACGTAAAACCGAAACATTTTGATGTAAAATCAAGAAAAATATTTATGTTTGTGAACAATTTCTAGGTCACTAATCTAATAAGCAAATTTGGAATATCATGTGAACTTCATTGTGCAACAGATACGTTTTTGTTCCATCTTTTTCACTTTATGCTGATTTATAGATTTTTTTAAAAGAATACTTATATTCAGCAAGGATTAAAATTAAATTAAAAAATTAAAATTAATCAAAGGTTACAGTACAGATTTTTGTAATGTTGGATTTCTGTTACAAAGTGCTGTGTTTCTATTCATCAAAGAATCCTGAAAAAAGCTATATTAAGCTTAAGTATTTTAGTGCAAACATGATTTCTGAAGAATCATATGACATTAAAGATTCAGTTTTGCCATCACATGAATAAATTACATTTTAAAATATATTAAAATATTTTTTTTTTAAATTGTAATACTATTTAGTAATATTTAGATTTTTTGATCAAATAAATGCATCCTTAGTGAGCATAAGAGACCTCTTTCAAAAACATTAAAAAATTCTTACAGACCTCAAACATTTGAACAGTAGTGATGTGGGAAAGAAATAAGGTGAGAGAAAAATAGTGGTGCAGAAAATTTATGCACAGGAAAAAGGCAAACCACATGTTTATAGAACAATTTTGACAAGACATTTGTCAGATTGTGACCTGTTCCTTCACGGGCTCTGCTCGAGCTCTCTTCTGTTTACTTTATTGTTAGTGGGGTTTTATCTTCATACCTGAGGACAGAGAGTCGGTTTAGCTTCATCTCGCTGTCTGCTCACTGCTTTGTGCCACTATATGCAGTCATTTCCCCAAATGCAGATCTTCCATATAGTCCCATTATTTTACTCATCTGTTGTAACGGATGATTCATCTCCACTGCTGATTTAAACTCTGCTTCAATTAATGCCTGTTCACACCAAATCTGAAACTACAGAGTGACACAAATTATCCAATATTCACAGCAATTTTTCACACTTGAATTATTCACACTCAATCCAATGCAGAAATTTTCTCTCGTTAAAATTATATGTTATTTGTAAATTATAAATTGTAAATATATTATTGCAGTGTAATATTTCAGGCTTGGTGTGAACTCAAGAGTTGTTCATTTATTTTTAAAAGCTTTATGCATGTTTTATGTCATTGCAAAAATGTGGGTATGGTGTCTGTTCATACTACATGTGACACATCATGCTTTCATTTCTTTACACTATTTCTGGTTTTCCAGTGCATTGCCTTTTTTGTTGCTTTTTATAGACCTTTTTCTGAACGCGGAAGTATCGCCCGACTGGAGCGGTGCTTCACACTTCCGGTCTCTGGTTTCTAGTCACATTTATATATTTTCCGAGCTGATAATATAACGTGAAACCCATAAAAATGGTTTTAAAAAGCACATGGCGCCATAGTTTCATCACTTTACAGTGTCGCAGTAACCATCTTTTTGCAGTAAAGGACCTGTCATAGTTTAATGAGTGGGAATGACATGAAGCGACGCAACGTTAGCTCCCGATCAGGGCAAAGTTCACGGGATTTTGTCCACCGAATGATAAAAGCACACATTATTTTAACATATTATTTTATTATTTCACACTCAGTATTTTAACTTAAGCGCTGCAAGCCATGCATACAGCCCCGGACATGGACAGATTTTATGGTACGCAAAACAAGTACTTTAAAGGAATTCCTTTAGCTTATTGCCGTTACTGTGGCAGCAAACAACAGGACAGCTTAACCCTGCGCACATTCAGATTTGGTTATATTGAAAAAGTTTCAATTCAGTCAATCTGTTTTTACCCCGTTTTAACATGGATTTCTATGGAGCACCCAACATGAGAGCACCCAAACGGAAGTTAGAATCCATCATGGCGCCACTCACCGTTTACTAAGGAAAAAGGTCTATATGACATTGATGAATGCGCTTTGCATGTGCTTGCTTGTGTTGTCAAGTTCACCATTTCAAGATTTTTAATCACATTGGAATTTTTTTGCCAGTTTACTTGAATTGTCAAGCATTTGACATTCATATGGGGTCATAAAAATTTAATAAAGTTGTTTAACAGTACAGCATGTCACACTGTTGGACTGATCATGTCAACTATCCATATTCAAATGGAAAAAAGTACTGTTGTGTTATAGTTTAATCCGTTTAGATCTTGTAATATGGTCTTAGCAGTAGTCAATAGGAAATTTTCTCTATTGTGCGATGTGACCACAGACCTTGTTTATTGATTTGAGCTTCAATCTTGTGGTTACTGAAAGTGAGACTTCAAAAGGAACCTTATAACATTTTGCAATGAGAAAACTGTTATTATATATGAAAACAGCTTTGTGCTGAAGTTTATAACAATATTATGGACATTAAGGGTTTAACCATTCAGCTTTGCCATCACAAGAATAAATGACGTTTAAATATATTTAAATAGAAAAGTTATTTTAAATTGGAAGAACATTTCACAATGTTTTCACTGTATTTTTGATCAACTAAATGCAGTCTTAGTGAGAAAGAAAACCTCAAAAACATTAAAGATCATAGTTGAATGGTATTGTGTCTGATATGTTAGATTAGCTAAGTGGTTAACTGAATGCAGAAGTCACCATTTTCTCCTACCAAAAACCAAAAAGAGGAGCAGATATTATTCACACAGGGCAAAATCTGTAATTCATATGCCCTCTACTTGATGCTACATGAGGTCACTGCAGGTCTCAAGCCAGATAAAGTTGTGCTGCTTAATAAATTGCTGTCACCTATCGGGTGTCAGTTCCTGAAGACGAGAGATCATCTGTCACACCTTTGCAGTCAGCGCCCAGGTTTCTCCGTTCAACACGAGAGGCCCAGGGTCACAGTCTTGCATCTCTCCCCTTTCCTCAAAACGTCTTCAGTTTCACTTTCTTTTGGAGGCCTTCCCAGTGAGCTGTAATGCTAATGCTACTTGGTCTATTCCAGCGTTCGTGCTGAAAGAGACTTGAAAGGCACACAACAGATCGAAATGCAACTTGTATGTAAATTGGAATCGCAGTCCCACAGACTTTTATCCTTCCTCTTTCAGAGCGCTCCAGTGACCATGCAGGTGGGCGAAGGCCAGCAGGTGCAGATCGTGCAGGCCGCTGCACAGGGACAGGCTCAGGCGCAGGCAGCACAGTCGGCTGGACAGACGATGCAGGTTATGCAGCAGATCATCACCAACACGGGAGAGATCCAGCAGATTCCAGTAAGAACTTAGGAGGGAAGATGTAACTTTTTGTTGTTGTTGTTGTCATCATTTGGACCTTTTAAAAGGATTATAAATTGGTAATAGGGAAGGCAGCACACCTGTGCTACATGAAGACCAGGCAAACATGCTTGTTAGTTGGAGGTAATGATGTGTGCTCCTCATTGCCCCCTTGTGGTGTCCTGCAGGTGCAGCTCAACACCGGCCAGCTGCAGTATATTCGCTTGGCTCAGCCCGTCTCAGGAACACAGGTTGTTCAAGGACAAATACAGACGCTTGCAACAAACACTCAGCAGGTAAATCATCGTCTTAGATGGTTAACAATGTTAGCTCAACTAATGGGCACAAGTTAGGGATACTTTAAAAAAAAAAATTTCATTTGGTGACACTAATGGTGCAGATGTTACACAATTGTAAATTTCACATAATATACATTTCCTTCATTTGACGAATTGAATTAAATTGATGGGTATCATTTTGTTGAATTGTTCTTTTACAGATTTCACAGACAGATGTACAACAGGGTCAGCAACAGTTCAGCCAGTTTACTGATGGGCAGGTAATTCCTTTTTTTTTTTTTTTTGGTTTTAAGACTTTTACACACACACACACACACTATTGTTCAAAAGTTTGGGGTCAGTAAGACAAAATGTCTTATGTTCATGGCTGCATTTATTTGATGAAATATACAGTAAAATTGTATGGACCTTTTTCACATTTCCGGGTTTCTCAGCAGCGGAAGTCGTCATAGTTGGGTTAACTTGAAGAGCGG